GCCTCATCTGTCAACGCTTTCTTTCTTTTCTTCGCCATTGCGTTAGAAAACATGGTATTAGTCAAATAGAATATTGACTTGGAAAATAAAACGATTTAAAAGAAAGTTGCGCAAATTTACAGCACTCATTTCGCACTACCTCCCGCCCGCTCCCGCTTTCCAATCACCTTTTTTCTCGCTTTTTTGACCACTTGTTGAATTTGACCGGACAATTTCCGCTTTATTTTCGACCGCGCAAACCCCGAAATATCACCGCTCGCTCGCATGCATTTAAAATTCGGACTAACAGAAAAATTTCCGAGGTTCACATTGTCTTATAATTGTCTTTATGGTTTTTATAGATGTTGAACAGCTGACAAAAGTTCAAATACATTTTGTTTTAACTATCTATAAATATATGCACGCAACCTGACCCTTTGGCCTCGATTTGGCTTGGACTGAATATTTTATTATTTATTCTGACGTGAAATACAAAATGTATACAAAATGTATTTCAACACAAGTACGACATGGTTGTCTGGGGTTTCTTTCCTGATTATTGAGTCTTCGCGATGTGTTCCGAGTCGAAGACAAGCTGAAGGACCATGAAGCTAAATGGCAGTTCCATGCATGGGCTGACGGAAAGAAAATATTTCTAAGCCTAAAATAAAACCTCGTCTTTCGTTGATAATTTCGATTGTTTGGAATGTCTGTACACCGTGTCCCAATAATTTGTTTGGAATGTCGATCCCCGTTGGTTTCTCCCAGTTAGCTGGCATCGGTGTCGCTGGGTGTATATGATAGAGCACAGTCCCTCCACTGTGGATAGAGGGAAGTTGTGCAACCAAATTTGCCGAGATCGCAGTTTTTCGCCGATAAAAAATAACTGAGGGAAATTAATTATTAAAGACATTATTTTCTATCAATAATCCGCCCAAAATAGGAACATTTCTACTAATTCTTGTGTTTTTTCGGCGTTTTTCGAAAAACCTGCGATTAGGCTGCGAAAGTAGAACATTCCGGGGGGGGGGGGGGTGAAGAGCATCGCCAGGCGATGGACGATGGGGTTCTTTGGCAACGACCGCAAACGTTTTCGTATCCAG